TCCTCTACCAGGGCTCTTTCGTGGACGTCTGCCGCGTCCCATCTGATGCGAAGGGCCGCCGGGCTTCCCTGGACCGTTCCCCCCGTCCCACAATGCTGCTGTTCGCGAGGAGGGCGGCTCGGAGCCGGGGCGCGGGCGGGCGGGTGCCTGGCCGGGGGAGAGGCTGGAGAAGTAATTCGTAAGTATGTGTGGGTCGTGGGCTATAGGTTGCAGGTTGTAGGTCGTGGGCTATAGGTTGCAGGTTGTAGGTCGTGGGCTATAGGTTGCAGGTTGTAGGTCGTGGGCTGTGGGTTGCGGGTCGTAGGTCGTGGGCTGCAGGTTATGGGTTGTAGATCGTGGGCCATAGGTTGCGGGTTGTAGGTCGTGGGCTGTGGGTTGCGGGTCGTAGGTCGTGGGCTGCAGGTTATGGGTTGTAGATCGTGGATTGCGGGTTGTAGGCGGGTCGTGTACACAGAAAATATATTGTGTTCTGCCAGGACGATACAGACGAGACGAGAGCAGCCTGCTCAGAGACGGGGCAGGCAAAGGTCGCGGGTACAGGTACCTAGATATGCACAGGAAATATAGGCAACACTACAGATGAGATGGCCTACATAGATGCATGCAGTGCACACTCTTCGTCCGTACACGTCCGAGAGCAGCCGTGCAGCCGCGCGCAGGGTGCGTACCGAGTTTCGAGCGTATTCCAAGTGCGTCCAGCCGCACACTTGGCAGCGTACAAGCAAAACGAAAAACAGGATACGGCCGTTCGGATCAACGCAGCCGTATTAGCCACACCCGGAGCGTCGCAACACACCTGCGCCTGCACGCTGTCTGCACGGCCGATCGCACGACGGGACACGCCGAATGCGCGATTGGCCCTCGCCGCCGCGTGCACCACTCCTACGCACGGCACCGCACGAATCTGCCTTCCATCGTGTCAGCAAACTTCGGGTCGCCGTATGTACATCGGCGGGACTTACAGGAGAGGGCCAACTCATCGAGTACGCGCACTTCGTCCGTAGCAGCTGTCCGGAACGGGGAGAAGTCGTGCGCCGGCCGATGTGAGCGTCCGCGGCACGTTCGGGCGCGCTTCAAGCATGGCCGATCGCGCACGGTCACCGAACAGGACGGCGCCGCTGCCACAACCGAGTAATGTCAGTAAGGTCTGACGCATGCGGGAGTCGGGACGTCACGACATACCGTGGATGTTCTGCACACCCGTGAGCTACTTTGCGGCGGCGCACACTTCTTGCGAAGAACGCTGGACGCGCCGAGATGACTCGGATGTAGCATCCGTGCCTTGCCGCCACGCAGAACGTGTCCCCAACGCCGCCGCCGGCTCGTTCGAGCCTGCCTGCCGTATATCGTATCAGCCAACTTTGGAACAATGCATAAAGAAGTGGCGGACGTACACGAATTCCCAGCTCTCGGACGAGTCCCCAAAAGTCAAAGACCTGCCCGCCGTGACTTTTCGGAACCGTGCGCGGACACATTCTTACGGGAGCGAGGTCCCGCCCACACACCTCCCGAAGGCTGCGTAGCACTCGGCATGTCTGACTCGGTCTCACGGGACCTCGTGTCCGTGTACGGACATCCCCAAGGTCATGGGGAACGGCCCCTTGACCAAACTGAGCCGTCATCGGCTGGCTCTCGAGTGTGGACAACACATCGGGCTCATCAGCACAGTCGGCCCGGGGCACCTTCGAGTCGCGAGCCCGTCATATTCCACGCACACAGCGCACGCGATACGACAAATCAGCACTCGGGCCCTCTCCCCGTCCTCGGACGCGCTGCTCGCAGAACGCGACCCAGTACGCCGGTGCAACGGGCTGCATAAACAAAAAAGATTGTAATGGCTTACCTCAAGTCTTCCGCTGGTTTATGACGTGTCGCGGACGTTCTTGTCGACGTGTGTGATTGGGTCGATGAGCAGTGGGTCGTCTGGGGCTTTCCGGGACCGTACACAAGCGGAGGGAAGCGGAGGAGGAAGAGGGGTTGAGAGCAGCGGGGAGCGGGGAGCGAAGGCAGACAGCGTGTGCAGAGCGGACGCGGGGCAAATAGCCGCAAACGACTCGAGGGGGACGGAGTCTCCGCCTGCAGTCTCTTTAAGGAGCCGAGAACGGCGTTCGCCTGGCGCTCGCGCTGCCCGCAGCCCTGTACATCAACGGACAATTCCTGCGATCGGGCAGCAGTCAGCCTAATCCGAGCATCGATATCAGCCCTGTACCGACCCTCTCCACACGCGTGCAGAATACAGTCACCGTGGGCACACACGTCACAGACGTCCCTGACCGCGAAGACGTGCTAAAATCACACGCGAGGCATGCCGCACTAAGAAGAGAGCGTAGCCAGGGTGCTCCTTCCATGGCGGGAGAATCCCGACTTCCCCGAGTTCATTGACACAGGTGTGCGCTTCGCGAGGAACATAAACGGCTCTCACGTACCAGATCGAGTCAATGGCCGCGTCTTCAGGGCCGCACGGGGCTCAGACTCGGAGGCACGCAGCGCCGTCGACATTCCAGCCGACAACTCTTGCTATTTTGGCCATCAGCGAGTCATATTGTGAAGGCAACGAGGATTACGAAACAGACGTGCGAGTGTGCGACCAAGGATGTCGGCCGGGCCAGAGCGACATGGTGGCAGGAGGCAAGGAAGCGTCGCATGCAGACGCCGAGTGAGCGATTCGATCTACCAAAACAGGCAGGCGGTGTCGTTCGAAGCGCCGTCCGCGCTTTCGTCTCGACCACCACCCTGGGCCCGAGCGCCGACCGACAGAGGACCTCCCGGCGACTCAGATCAAGAAACGGCTTTGCTATATCAAGGTGCGCAATATGCACGTCGCACGAGAACATCCAAACCTGCTACAATGCATCCTCCGGCCCCTAGCTCCCACGCTTTCTCGCTGGCCGCTTCCACCGATCTCCTCGCCGATCTCCGTTGTATCCACCACGGCTCCTGTCACAGCGAGGCTGCACGCCGCAAATTGGGTGTAAGGTGAGCGCAGAAGCTCGGTGCATCAGCGGTCGCTGCCGGCAGAAACTCACACTCACGCTTGGAGATAGGCTCACCACGAGCTCGTTCCTTCCGACCCCTGCTGCGTCCTCCTCGGCACGCCCCGTGTCGTCCGAGTCCAGAGCGTGCAGCTTGCGCTTTACCTCGGCTTGCGGAAGTAGGTGGCTCTCCAAGCTCTTCGGGTTGGGAAGGCAGGGCATCCCGCAGTGGCTGGGGACCGGCGCGTCCGATGCTTTGAGAGCCAATGAGCCCTCCTGCACGAAGCGTTAGCAGCTGCACATGAGACACTACACGGAAAAGTGACTGACGAATATGTAGCGCAAGATGCATGTGGAGGCGGAGCCGGAGGACTTCTCGGATGGACACGGGACCGTCTGATGCGAAACGGGTACTAACTTCGATATTGCATAAGACGTCACTGGGAGGTTCGTGTGCAGGCGTGCGCGAGAAACGGGATGGAGAGATATCGTCGAGCGCGGGAGAGCGTCGCATGGTGTCGCCGAGGGTTGTTGACGAGGCAGGCGGCTTATGAGATGGCGGACAACCGCTGGGAGCGAACGGTGAGCATTTCAGTCACTGGATTTCCTCCGAGTCCGGGGATATTTGTCAACCAATGCTGATTTCTTCGCGCAGGATACCGCCATAAATGGTAGTACCCATGCCGACGCGGCGCGGCTTGCATTGGTAGAGTTTTGACTGGTCTGCCCGAGCCATTCGATCCCGATACACCATCGTCGCACCGCAAAATAGGTTAGTGTGCACACCGGGAGACTCCTCTTGGAGCAGACAGACCGGGGCCGTTTGCCCTCCATGCACACGCCCTGTGTAGTCTGAAGATACGCTGGTACGCCCATGCATTGCTGTCTTTTCCCAAAGCGGCTGACATGCTCTCGTGCCTCAATTTAGAGTTGGGCAAGGATCGCGAGGATCTCAAGCCCGTAGAACATGGCGCTCTGCGCGCTCGAAGACGGCGCTCACGCTCGGTCTGGTACATCAAATTCCATGTGCAGTTGACCACGCCCCACGCGGCATCAAGCGGAGCGCCCCCATAGCGAGCAGAAGCACATCCCGCGAGTAGGTACGCATTCTTCCGCACGCACGTCCTTGTCTGCACGTCCCGCGCAGCCGTACTGATCACAAGAATATAGTGCAGTTTGCGAGCTACGCAGGAGCTTGCGCTGTTGGCCTGAAAGGGCTCGGACACGGCGATGAGCTTCTCGTGCCTGCGCAACGGTACTATGATTCGCACAGCTCGGTTCGCTATGCACACGAAGCAAGCTTCTTCGACATCGAGAATTGAATGCCTCGCGCCCGGCCGCGGCGACGCATCACTCGAGCTCATCGCGCCGAATAGCCCCCTTCAAGCTCGTATCGTACAGTCTGCAGTGCGCGACGCAGATGTCCTCGCATCCGCGGGTGTGCAACACGGAAACACGTCAGTATTTGCTACACTTCTCCATCCTTGCCAGACCGACTGACATGCTTCTGTGCTTCGACATCGGCTGCTAGTGGGGTTCGCGATCAGGTTCGTCCAGTCCTTTTTCCCATACCGGCGCCCTCACATTCCTCATGTACAGATGCACACCGCCGGCCGAATAGGACGCACGAGGCGAGGATCGCGAGCGTGCAGCACATGGCTCGGTGTGCGCTTGAACAAGGCATCGGCATTCCCAGTAGGCACAGAAGGCCCATTTC